ATGACAAGGCTACTGAGTTGAACATTAGTAGTCGTAAACCCAAAAAATTTAATCGACTGTTCAACGACGGTTATAAAATAAAATATACTATACGCCAATGTTTTTTCATGTCTAAGTGCCAGTGCCCGGAATAGCAAATACTGATGTTTGTTAGGTAAAGTGCCACTATCTGGTTCACCCTAAACAGGTGTTTTTTTAAGCTTAAATGCTACAGGCCAGCATACCCTGCACTAATATTTCTAAGGTTAAGTGATAATCTCAGGTATATGTTTGCCCGGTATATCCTACACTGATTTTCTTAAGGTTATCCGCCATTGCCTCCGTTATTCCTAATACTGACTGTTGAGGTGAAGGGTTGCCTTTGGGTTCTATTGTTCGCTCACCGTGGCTTTTTATGGAACAGTTTTACGGAACGATTTTTTTAACAGAACAGTATCCAATATATTTGGGAATGGAAAATCCTATCATTAATCCTCCGTTTCGATCTCTTATCGGAAGGCGTTGGTAACTTCTAGGTTTTACCTCAAAGGACGGGGAAAAGTCCAAAATGGAATCATTTTAAAGCATACTTTAAACTTTTACGAAACACTTTGTTAAAAACTAGGTTTTAGCGCTAAAACCTAGGATTTACCTGATTTTGAGCTTTTACAGTAACACACATACACATATATTTTGAATGAAATAACTTTTGTCTCCTGTATGCAAATGATGTGGTTGAAATCTCATTTTTTTCTTCTTTTTATAATAAAACATAAAAAGAAATGTAGATATATTCCTCATAAATAAACCTATAATTGAAAAAAGAAATTTTCTATAGATGTATAAGATTTATTTTCGTATTTTCTCAAATATTATAAATAAAATGTCGGATGATAATGGACTGTCACCTAATGAATGTTTTGTATTTGTTACCAAAGGAAGGAAGAAAATATTTCTCCTAAAACAATTTGAAAGATAAACGAAGTGTCTCTAAGGTTTCACTCATAACATATTTGCTTTTTATACAAATGTTTTCATACCTATATTTTTACAGTAAATATATTTTTATTTTTATTTTTCATCTTAAAACATTTTTATTTGCGATTTTATAAGCTGGTTTTTTGTTACGCACGATCCCATCCATTCTAATTTTTCATTTTATTTTAACCTAATTAATATTTAATTAAGAAAATGAAATTGAGTGAATATCTTAATTAGAACATATAAAACATTCAATGTTTTATAAAATCAAAAGTTCTAATTTCATTATAAACAGTTTTAAAATAATTTACGCAAGTGAATAGATTTTTTATTCAACACCGCCATAGGTTGATATAATGTTGTTGATAATTTTTAAGCCTAATAAAAATAAAAAATTTGTTTCTCAAGCAGAATACACACTTTAAATTTCCTTTTTTTTTCGTTTTTCCATCAATGATTTTTTAAATGGTATGTCATTTTTATGACACTCGGTTGTAGTCTGCATCGTTAGTTTTTGTTAAATCTAATTTTAATTTTTCATAAAAATAAGTATTATTAAATAACAATAAAATGGGAAATTCTTTCCATCTTTTAATTAAAAAATTCTTAGATGTTTTCTTCTATTTTCAAATAAACTTTTAAGATGGCATTTTTAATTACTACTCGTAAAAAATTAAACCACTTAATATATATCCCTAAAAGTAACATTAGAAATAGATCATATACTTTGTTATATAATGGTATTATCGAATTATTTATACTATGGGTATAATTCAAATCTTATTCATAGAATTGCAACTTTACGTTATTTTATATATGATATGTTATCGAAAACAAAATCTTGGTCTGCTTTTTATGCAAAATGTAGAGGATATGATTAAAGTTGCAATAGTCTAACGCATATACTTATACTATATTCAATGGTATCTTTTGTTATCAAAGAATTCCTTTTCTGTATTCGGTACGATTACCTTTAGAAATGCTTTTTATTGCAGAATTTCCAAAGATATATTGATATAAGTAAAGTAGTATGTATTTTATATTCAATAAAACTTTCAAGGAACGGTAAACAAAATATGCTGAATAATAATAATTTAACATTTTTGCTGCCATAAAATGGTGAAAAATAAAATATATTATCTTATTTCTTATAATTATTTCCGAAGTTAAAATTTTTAATGGTTTTCCATTGATGGAACAACCTAATCTTGATGGTAACCATCAAAAATTCCATCATGAACCATTATATTTTTTGATGGTAATCAACATAAGTGACCATCACCCCAATGTAGGTATTCGGACTGATTTGCGATGGTCCAACATAAGAATAGCAGCTTGTTTTGATGGTTTGTTCATGTTGAACCATCAGAAATTTCTGTCATAGTTTCTTAAAAATCAAATGTTGGAGCGATCATGAACAACCATCATCCCGATGTAGGTATTCGGACTGATTTGTGATGGTCCAACATAAGAATAGCAGCTTGTTTTGATGGTTTGTTCATGTTGAACCATCAGAAATTTCCATCATATCTTCTTAGAAAACAATGTTGGAGCGATCATGAACAACCATCATCCCGATGTAGGAATTGTTACCAAAGGAAGG